TCTGCTTGAGAAACATTTCAGAGACCAGAGAGTGACGACAGACAGGGAGAGGCATCAGAGGTGAATAAGCGTAATCAATTTATCAATAATCAGTAAATAAAGATGCAGATAATCGGTCTATCCCTACTTTACCTACTGTGAAAATAACCATTTGCTGTTTTCTCCTGCTTGTGCGTTACCTTGCTGCGCTCACCATAAGCCCCTTTGTGACCTCAGGTGTTCTTCCTACTTGGATGTAGCAAATCCCACCCAGTCCTGCTCCAACAAAAAGAGGCCCCTGAAACCATTTAAGAACGTCCCTGCCATACACAAACCCTCACTGCTACACAAAGCAAATTTTGCAGACATTTGTGTTTACCTGAGGTCGAAGCGAGGATGTCGTTGTGCTGTCTGTCGGGTGTTGGCCCTGTCCTCTCTGCCTCTCTGGCTGACTGAACTGAAACCGCATCCAAGACGACCAAACTCCCCGGACGCCTAACATTTCCACCTGGGAGCAGTTCTCCACACAAGCATACACATGTGGAAAGATGGTTTACAGGTGCTATGTTTAGCTGGGAAAAGATTTCTCTAATCGAGTGCGATAGAAAGTTCTCCACTTTAACAACCTCTTCAAGTCCTGACCTTGAATTTGTACATTGAACAGAATAAAAAAATAAATTAAAAAAAAAGTGGAGATGATGATGGCAAATCTGGATTTCTATTCAGGTCTTATTAAATTTATTTTAAAAAGAGCCACATAATAACGAAATGTGAAACTAAATTAGAGCGTTAATCTTGTTACTGAGGTCATTAGTGTAACATGAGTGCAACAGAGCTCCCTGCTGACACACAGACGAACTGCCGTAATCTGTCTGTCGGCCTGAAGGAAGTGTTTAAAGCTAAATCTGTTTGATATGAAGTCCAAATATGCAAAAAACACATTATCCAGCAGGATTACCTGGATAATGAATGGAACTGTGAAAATGTAAAATTATTGGGACGTGCGTCTCCCATCTACTAAAAATGATTCAGACAAGCCTTCCCAAAAGACTTGAATTACAACATATATAATGCAAATGAATTATTTTTCAGGGTATTGATTACTCGTCTATGTTAGTAGAGTTTCTGGCAGCACAGAAATACACTGCTTAGGCAACTTAAACCGTCTGATATTTGGTTTGAATCACTTCTCAGCAGTACTGGTGGTGTGCGTTTCATTACCGTAGTCTGCACAGCCCTGCAGGGAAACTGTTCAAGGACTTCTAGATAGGAAAGAAAAACAAAGAAGTGCACAGGCTGTTCACCGTATCAGACAATGAGAACAGTGTTGTAAACGCTACAACAGGTCAGCCGCCTCAGCACACATCCTGCTAGCCTCCAGGTTCATGTTTCGTGCCACCTGCACTTGTTCTGCAAACATGAGCCGCCACAATAACACAATCTGCCTTCAGTCCGTCGGGGATGGGAAGGAAACGTTTACAGATCTGTGACTGCACAGGTCGTGAAGCAACAAATGTCTACATTGTGTTTACATGGTGTGCACTTAAACAGCGCTTTTATCCAAAGCGGTTTACAATGTGTTTCTCCTTCACACACATTCACACACTAATGGCGACAGAGCTGCCACTGGGAGCAACTTCGGGTTCAGTGTCTTGCCCAAGGACACTTCAGCTGTGGAGGGGCCGGGGATCGAAGTGCCAACTTGCAATTGGAGGACAACCCGCTCTACCACCTGAGCCCTACCAGTTGTCTTCCATGTTGTCTTTGTTACAGCTGTTCAGATATTTACCTCGTCACAGGTCTCGATGTGCTTCAGCTTTCCCAGGCAGATAACAGCGCAGCACACAGCAGGTGATGGAGGAGTGTTTTTGTGGAGAACTTGATTGCAGGAACGCTCTTCACTCCTGCCAGCGACTCTGCAGCTTTAAGTAAACGATAGAGCCACCAAGCGCTGCAACAGAGAAACCTGGAACTGCAAAGGAAATGTTATTGATGGTTCATGGTCACCAAGATAAAGGAAACATTGTTGTGAAAATGAAATATCTTCACTTCTACCTAATGATTCTAACACTTCATTTCTTAAAAAAGGATTTTTAAAGCAAAGAACTTTAGTGTGTACAAAAAAACCACAGAAGTCAGAGCACAGAATAGAGTGCTAAAAGGTTTTTATTAAAAGAATAGAAACACTTGACAGAGCAGTGGCTTATTACACTTCCTTAAAAATTTATATTACACATATTTATATTCAACACACTATTGATCTGCCAAAAGAAATGTTCGTAAAAACTATACACATGCTGGAATTCTTTTAACGTTTTGTTCATTCAGCCCTTTTAAAGTTAAAGGCACCCAGAATTCAACAGCATTCAAGTTCATGATGTCAAGTCAGTTTGATAGTAACCCGCTGAAAGAAACAGAAAAAGTACAGAAAACAAACTACGAGATGTTTGTCACCTGAAATCAAGTCTAGAAACTATTTTACAATCATACACTACACTGACATGTGAAGTGCTTTGTGTGGCTTGGTGTAGCATGTTTCAACACACACAGAACTACTTTACTTTCCACATGAGCTTCACAAAAACATACAGTCAAATAATGCTTCATGCAACTTTTCAATTTACTAAAAAAAACTAAACAAAGCAGGACAGACATCCCACACATGGTCAATTACTTTGTTCTTACAGTTTTTACATTATATACACATTTACATTACAAACAGAGTTTACCTTATTGTTTCCACCATGCTGTCACTAGAAAAAAAACTGTTCAGAGTCCTTGTGCATGTGTGCGCTAAGGCTGGTCCGAATGGTAATTTCTGTTCTCCACAGGCTCTAGCACAGCGAACCGATAGTCGGCTAGTCGGCTCCAGCCCTAGTGTGCGCTGTAACACTGAAGTGCTGATTGATTTTTATCTCCACAAACACTCGAGACGTTATTCATCAGCTGTTGGTCTGAATGCAGAATGTCAACATGCATGTCTTGTGTAAACTGTGCAGCTACACCTGCTTACTGTATGAATACATAGAAAACAGCAGCTCTGGACTCACTTGTGTTTCAAGGTAAACATGGTTAGACAGCGTTTGTGTCGGGAGCTGCATTAAGGTCCAGTGTGGAGGATTTAGGGGAATCAGTCAGCAGAAATGGAACAAGTTTTTAAATGCTGTAATGCACTTTGCGTTGCTGTAATGCATGAAAAGTGCTACACAAATAAAATTTGATTTGAAAATTCGGTTCATATTTACATTCACAAAAGTGTATAAATTACCTGAAATGTTTTACATTGAAGGGGCAAAGGCTGTAGGTTCTCCCTGACTCTTGGAACTGAGGGTGAGTGGGCTGGTTGCATCATAAATCCTGCACACTGGACCTTTAATACGACACCTTGAAGTTGCACTTAAACCTTAAGTGTGGAACTTTTGTCTCCCCCTTCTGGCAGTGAGGGTAATTACATAAACACAGTCAACAAATCCAGGGTTTTTGCTCCTAGTCGCTGTTGTCCTGTCCTGATATGTAGCATAGTGTGGCGTACTCCGTCTCTAGCTGTAGTTCCAAGTAACTGTCGAGCAAATTTAATGTAATATTTTAGCGTGCCCTCGATGACCAGTGATGTGCGCCTTCTTCTAAAGGCCCGCAACGCTACCTTCTGCTCAGGGGACCCACAACAGTACAGCGAGGCCACAACAAATCTGAAGAGGGGCGTCAGGGATGCGAAAGCCAGACACAGGCAGAGAACTGAACATCTCTTTGAAAGCTCCGACCCCCACCGTGCCTGGCAAGGTCTGAGGCGTATCACCAAACGAAGCCATAACAGCAGCCCAACCAGCAGCAGCAGCAGCAACTCTCTGGCTGAGCAGCTTAATTCCTTCTTCAGTCGGTTTGAGCAACAAACCCTCCAGCCCCAGACACTGACAGTCAGCCGCTCAGCTTGCAAACTGCGGAGGTGAGACACGCTCTCCAGAGCATCAGCATCCAGAAGGCAGCCGGTCCAGACAGGGTACCAGGACACGTTCTCAAAGACTGGGCTGCAGAGCTAGCTGAGGTATTTACAGACATCTTCAACTTAGCTCTTTTGCAGTGCTCCGTCCTCATCTGCCTGAAAACATCCACCATCCTGCCAGTTCCCAAGCAAACTGCAGTGACTGAGCTTAATGATCACAGGCCTGTGGCACTGACGCCTGTAGTCATGAAGTGCCTGGAGAGACTGGTGCTCAAACACATCAAGGCTTGCCTTCCACACACTCTGGATCCTCACCAGTATGCCTATAGGAGCAACAGGTCTACTGATGACACCATCTGCACTGCGCTCCACACCGTACTGCACCACCTGGAACACCCAACTCCACATCTGTCTGTGGATGATGGACTTCTTGACCAACAGGCCTCAGTCAGTCAGGATGGGCACGCACCACTCCTCCACCCTGACACTGAGCACAAGTGCCCCACAAGGCTATGTGCTCAGCCCCTTCCTCTAACCCCTGTACACACATGACTGTACCCCAGCACATAACACCAACACTATCATCAAATCATCAAAAAACACCAAAGAACTGATACTAGACTTCCAGAAAAAGAAAGACGCACACACACCACTGTTCATCAATGGCGAGGAGGTGGAGAGGGTGAGAAGTTTCAAATTCTTGGGCACCCACATCACAGAAGATCTAAAATGGACTGTCAACACCAACATGCTGGTAAAAAAAAGGCACAGCAGCAGTTATACTTCCTGAGAACACTCAGGAAGATCAGCCTGTCCCAACACCTGCTTGTGGCCGACTACCACTGCACCATAGAGTATTGTGACTCATGGCATCCTGACATGGTACGGGAGTTGCTCTGCAGCAGACAAATCACTCTGCAGCGGATTATAAAAACTGCACAGAAGATCACCAACTCCCAACTACCAGCTCTGGACAACATCTTCACCACTCGCTGCCTGCAGAAGTCACACGACCCCTTCCCACCCTGCCCATCTGGCAGAAGATACAGATCCATCAAAACCCGCACCACACGACTCTGGAACAGTTTTTACCCCACAGCCATAATCACACTGAACAATGAAAAACACTGACAGTGGAAGTGCAATATTTGAACATTTGACTGTCCTACTGCATTGGCCTGGGTACATTTGGTACTGATGTGAGTGATGGTTGAGTCCGTGTCCTGACTGTGCACCTTAATTTTGTTGTACACGCGTGTATAATGACAATAAAAGTATCTTGAATCTTGAGCAATATTTTGAAACGTTACAAAAAATAAAAACAGAGAATGACTTGTTTCCAAACGCTTTGGATCAAATAAATTAGGATGTGTAGCATTTTTGGAAGGTGGTAGTATATGGCTGTAATAAATAAAACAATTGTTGGTCAACTGCTTAGAAAAAAAAAAAAAAAACGCAGAGGAAGGAGCAGAAACAAACAAATCTTTGGCCATCTACAAGAGAAAACTGTAGAGAAGTCCTCGGAAACTGTTTTCAATTGGGCAAGTTGGAAATGTTCTTTAATGTCAGCTGGTATTGGTCAAGTTTCATTCTGTTGAAGACTACGGAAGAAGTGGAATCAGCTGACCAGTGTTTCCATCTCTCACTAGGCCTGTTATCTCGTTTTCAAAAGTCGAAACCACATAAAAACTCTTTAGCAAAAATGGAAAAATTTTTACAAATTTAGTGGTTTACGGTAACTTCTTCTAATGCAATACTTAAAAAGACGCAGAAAAATATGATTTGGAAACATGGCTTCTGTCTCCATAGTTGCTCCCATTTTCAGGTGTGGCAAAGCAAACAGCTATGATGGAAAATTTGACTGATAGTGCATCAGTGCAGGAATGTTGTCGCAGAAAGGCTAAATCAGCAAAGCTTGAACCCTTTTGGCAAAGGCTTGAATTTAGCAAATTCATTTGTTTCATTTGACCACACTACACTCTCTCTGCAACTGACTCTTTCCTGGTGTAACAGTCTCTATAAACTTTTACTGTGCTGAAAAAATTCATGTGACAGCCAGTTTTTGAGGAAAACTAAAAATCAACATGAAAGAGCTTTAAACTGACCTCATGCAGAAGAGGTTTTGGCAGTAACTGGCTGCAACTCTGTCCCTAAATGAGTAGTGAAAGATTGAAAAGCTGGCACAGTGGTTGGTAGATTTTCAGTAGCAGGTGGGGATCATTGAAATTAAGTACATATTGATGCAATTGTGTGTTTTTACCTAAGTGAAAAAGACCAATACAGATGTAGGATATTTAAGATAAAATGTTGATCCAAACAGCCAAACAGCAGGACCATGACATGTCGTCTATGGCTTCTACTGAAAACGAAGAAACATTGTTTTTGCTCATTTAGACAACTCTATAAAATCAACAGGGGTTAAAAAAATGTTGTAATTCCACCTTGTAAGTATCACAAAGAAATAAATTATTTGTTCATTATTATCCATATTAAATATTTTTAAAGTTTTACTTGCTGGAACATTGTGAGAAAACCATACCCTCTGGATATGCTTGGACTGAACCGAAAAAAAAAGAAAAACGGTTTTAAATATTGAAATGTTGTTGCCTGTGCACTAAAAGCTGTGAGACAACAGAATGGTCCTTAAAAATGGCCCATTTACATGTTTTGTGCATACTTTAGGTCCTCTCCATGATGTCAGTCCAAAGTTTAGGAAACAGAAGCAGCAACACCGTTCTTTAGGTCCAGTTCTGACATGTCGGTCAAGGGGGTGTCGACAGTGCTAACAATGCTGTACTGACCAATCTCTGTGTCTCTGGATGTCGGTTTTCTCCTGTCCTGCAGAAGAGCGTGGATCAAGGCAACCGGGACGGGCATCATGGCAAATATGATCAATGAAGCCAGAACAGCCAGAGCCCAACCAGGATATTCCAGATCCTCTTCAGAAGCCTGAAAAAGTAAATCCAAATAGTCAGTGGAGAACCCAAACAACCAGTAGAGCATTACACATTCTTCATCGTGTTGTTTCTTCTGAATACATAAGTACAGCGCCTATAAAAGGTATTTAATCCACTTAAAAGCTGTCCCCTTGTACTCAATACTGACTTGAAGGGAATGAACACTTATGCAATCACTTATTTTAAGTGTTCTATTTTACAATTAATTGAAATTACTTTGTAGAAATCTGTTTTCAAGTGGACTCCTTTTGTAACTTTGAATCGGGACTGTGGGTCCAGAGAGAGCAACAGGCAGCTTGTTGTACTTTGTAGTTTTTGATGTGCAGAAAAAAAAACTTTCTCAAGGTGCAGCATGTCTTGTGGCTGAACCGCCTGAAGCTGATGATGATTTAGATGGCAAAGAATATTATGTTCAGACTCCACTGAACTTAAACTACACACAATAACGTAAACGCATTTCAAATATTTGTTTTAAGTGTGTGTGCATATTTTTTTTCCACGTCAATAAAATCCTCCATACCGTCTCCTGGTTCCATGCCTTGTAGGTGGGGCGTTTAATAAACATGCGGATAGTGGTGGCTAACAGCAGCCCCACCATGGCAAGTAGGCAGATGTATTTCCACAGGTACTTGTAAATGACAGAGGGACGCCATCCCAGCATTGCCTCAATATCATCAAGGAATCTTAGGAAAATTTAGGGGAAAAAAACAAAAAGAAGATTCATCTTTCTGAAATGCAATGCTTATGACTTGTATGTGAGGAGGCTGATGAGTTAAATTTACACTGAATTTCAGGTGCACACAGTCGGAATAGAAACCTCACCTATCAGCGCCATATAGCCAAGATACACTGAAGGTCTCAAAAACCACGACAATGATGAGGGGCAGAGTGGCGGAGTAGTCGTCGAACATCGTCACAAAGTAGTTCCCACAGCGCTGAGTGAAGAGCAGGCCAATCACAAAGCCAACGATGCAGCTGAAAACTGTGACAACAGCAGAACAGACATGGAAGATTAAAAACAACTTCTTTAAAGAGAGCATACACAATCATACACCTGTGTTGTCAATTTCATATCTTTATACAAATGAGACACAGACTGTATGGTAATATCTTATGACTTTGTCCATAAGTCTTCCTGCTGAAAATGTGACACCAATAATGAAGGGAAAATCATGCATTTAAAAAAAAAATAATAATAATAATAATAATGTATCCCTGTTTGCTTTAAGCATCTGGGAAGGGGCTGTTGGGCGTGCAGAAAATCTTGCTTAGCTTTAGCTCGAAGACATGTGGTGAGACACTGGCTGTAACTTACTGTGCAACATAAAAGAAGAAACACCTGCAAACAGATAGTAAGATAAGACGGCACTTTCCAAAAGCACTTATTGAGTGACATAAAACAGACATCTAGTTGAGGACAGCGTTTAGAGTTTGGCTGTACTGAACTAATACCTGAACTGCAGAATCAAGATTTCACAGTTTAGACAGATATGCTGTCTTCTTGGTCACTCAGCTAGATCACTATGTTGAATCACTAATGTGATGTTAATGCATGAAGTGGGACTGTTGGTCGCAGTGATGTCACGAAGGCCTGCCTTCATAGTTGTGCTAAGGAGCATATTTTTTAATTCATTTCTTTAAGAATCTGCTTAGAGCAAACTGTTTATGCTTGGCAAATTATTGAGACATGTAAAATAATGTGAATTTAATTAAATATCATTATATTATGGGTAGATTTGGTCAATTTTCCTGATGGAATGGCTTTTTAAAGGTAACATGAGCCCTTAACCTGCTGGTGGGTAGTGGGATTAAGAGGGTTAATGAGAAAAACAACAGTAGAGGGAAAACAGGTGCTTACTTGTGAATTTGGTCTTGTTGTTTGCCAGAGTTTTGAAGCGATCAGTGAGGGGGGCGAGGATGCCCTCCATAGTGCCGAACATGGTGCTGAGTCCCAAGTTGAGCAGCATGAGGAAGAAGAGTGCGGACCAGAAGGGGCTGCCAGGCAGGAGTGACATGGCCTCTGTGAAGGCAATAAAAGCTAGCCCTGTGCCCTCGACGCCCTGAAAACAAACAGAAGAGCCTGCTTTAATTTGCATGTACTTCAACCAAGTATAAAATAATCCTCTAATTAATCCAAGAAAATCATTCTTTACCGCCTGCATCTCTTTTTCCAGGTCACAGTCTGTTAAATTGCCAGGGACTTTACTTCCATACTGTTTAAACCAGGACCTGTAGCCTTCCAGAGCAACAGACCTGGGATCAGAGTAGTTGAATTCTGGCATCAGGCTTCCGTCCACATAACCGCTGTGGAACTGTTCTGAAAGCTCCTTCAAGTTGCTAAAAAAAAAAAACAACAAAAAAAGCCAAAAGAATGGAAAATCATATATTCAATAATGTAGAAATTTGCCCACATGTTGTACACATGATATAAAATGCCAGTGAAATCAAGCATAGATTGCACTACTCTGCCCAACATACCTTTCTATACATGTTAAGACCTTTTCTTTGGCGCGGAAGCCGAGCACAGCAAACACCACCAAAGTGGCCAACACAGATGTGAGGAAGTTAATGAAGGAGACAGTGAAGGCATCACGATGGCAGTTGTTGTTCTTGGGATTGTAGGAGGAGTAGGCGATAATGGACCCAAAACCAAGGCCCAAGGCAAAGAAAACCTGCGTAGCTGCCTGCCGCCACACCTGCACATCTGCCCAGAATGCCAGCTGTGACAGCACAACGATAAAAACAGGTGGGTCAGAAAAATATTGATATCCCCTTTCTGTATATTAAACTAAACATTTTATCAGCGGATACCTTGGGGTAGAACATGTGGGATATTCCCTCTAAGGCCCCATCCAGCATTAGTCCACGGACGAGGAAGCAGAAGAGCACCACGTAGGGGAAGATGGAGGAGAAGTACATCACCTGGGAAATGAGAAGCAACGATTACCTATCAGCACAGGCACTTTTGGTTAAATCAGGGGTCTCGAACTCCGGTCCTCGAGGGCCGCAATCCTGCATGTTTTAGATGTCTCCCTCTTCCAACACACCTTATTCAAATGATCAGGATCGTTATCAGGCTTCTGCAGAGCTTGATGATGAGCCGATCATTTGAATCAGGTGTGTTGGAAGAAAGAAACATCTAAAACTTGCAGGATTGCGGCCCTCGAGGACCGGAGTTCGAGACCCCTGGGTTAAATGGAACAATTCTTCGCAAGTGGCTCCCTATTTTTATTTCAAATAATTTACAGGAGCAAATGAGCTCATTTCTACAAATGTCCATTTTTCTTGTTAGCACTCTAATAAACTCCTCTCCCCAAATTGCTTGTTTATATTCTTGCATGCTTATGTGAAGCACCTTTTAGTTAGGTCTCTGATGAATTCTACCAATTATGCTGCTATAGCAACACATTTTCCCCACAGAGAGGACTAAAGTTTGAGAACAAGACTATCAGGTTCATAAAAAACATACTATGCTTGGGCGACTGTACAAACACCATTTAACGTGTCAAAACAGGTGAACGAGGAAGTGTGAATATGCTTGCACTTTCAGTTGTTCTTCTCTACAGTTCCGGCTGCATACTTGTATTCAAGTCATAAGTGTGAACGACACATTAACAAACAGAAACCTTAACAGACAGTAATACAAGGAAAGCTACAGCCACAATCTTCACCGTTAACCCCTCATTGTTTCTTGTAATGTGCCTGTTGCTTGTTACAAACCGAACATATGGCCATTGTAATCAATACGGCATGTGCTTAAGTCTGTTATCAGCTTGCGTGGGTTTAAGCCGTCTCTCTGATATTAGCATCAGCACAAAAAAAAAACACAACTTCCACTCATGACATGTTTACTTGGGCTTGTAAATCTGAATACATAGATGATGAAAAGCTTTGCTCCACATTATTTTCTGTATATCATAAGGCATAGCACTACTGAGACGTGACTGGCTCATATGTTGGGAAAAACACACCACAGTATTAAAAAAATGTACATTTATAAAAATGTAAAACACGTAATGTGGTCTTAGTTTGAAAGCAGGTTAACACATAAGCCCACATTCCACAGATTCTCTCACCCGCACTAACCCTGAAATCTAAGCCCGACACATGACAGGGATTTAACCCAGCTCAGAACGTCCACACGAAGAGAACAGGATGCAATTTTGTCAGTAAGTCAGTGATTTTCAGGAAGACAAACTTCTCTTCACATTTCTGTTGTTTAATGTTCAGTCCTGCACTGAGCTAATTCCAAAGAAAACACGATGACATTTAAGGACGTACTGCCAAGGCACTTGTAAATTTAAAGATTGAGTATGTGGTTCAATAACCAACATGTTCAATATACAATCACACTAACTCTCTCCAGCATGACTTAAATACAAGTTTAAACCTTCTCAAATGGCACAGCTTCCATAACAGTAAAACATTTTGAAAGTCAGAAGTCACAACAGATTCCACACGTACCTTGACAGAGGACTTGATGCCCTTGAACATTCCCAGGCACACAACAGTCCAAGCTGCCAGCAGACAGCAGACGATGTAAACATTAAAAGAGCCCGTCTCATCGATTGAGTCTGTGATGTCCAAAGCTTTACGGTACCAGAAATACGATGTGGGAGAACTCTTTTCACATTCTTTTACTGGCATGGAAAGAAAAACAATATCAATTACTCGTCGTGCATGTGACACATGGTTAAATAAATGTAAAATTGGATGACGTCCCACACCGTGTGAGCTCCGAACCTTAACTCTGTGTGTTTACCTGTTACATTCCTGTGTTCTGGACACGTTTCCCAAGGTAAAGGGTACTGGAACGAGTTCCCAAGATAAAAAAGACTCCATGCAAGGATCACATTGTAGTAGAGGGCCACAAAGAAACAAACCTGAGAACATTTAAGAAGATGATTATCACGTTGATTTAAAAATTACATCATGCTGTAAAGGAAACCCTTGCTACTACTTTAATAAATCAATCCGACTTGATTTATGAAACACTTTTTCACACAAATGTGACATGAAGGGCTTTACAGATGACAGAAATAAAAAGGCAATTAAACAATGCAAACAATGCCCCCTACCCCCACCAACACCATGTTAGAAAGAAAGAACTCAATAAAACAGGGACTGAGGAACTGACGAGACACCATCATAAACAAACACATGCAATAAGGAAACACCAGAGGCATGACCTGGCAAAGTTATAAAAGTAAGATACAACAATAATTAAAAAAAAAAAAAAAAAAAAGAAAGCGATAAGGATAGATAAAAAGCCAAAACATAAGCCAAAATTCACAAAAGCAAAATAATAACACAATGAAAAACAACAAAGTATTAAACAATGGATTGAATAGAATAAAATATGTAAACAAATGAATAGAGAGAAATCCATAAATAGAACAACAGAGCAAGTGCTTTTCTCTACAATTACAGCTGTTTTCTGATATTTAAGGGACAAGAAGACAGACACCACATTTTTAACAAACAGTAGCTTTAAAGGAAAGTTATGGCCTGCATCTTGGCAGTTCGCTCATTTTTGGGAATAAAACCAGTACATGTCATCATATCATTGCTCTCTGTCTGAACACAGTTTATTTATAGTCCTACACGGGCAGCACATGTGTTTTTCTATACACAACTACACCGCACACTGAAGTTTAGGTGGACTACACAAAATGACACTTGGGAAGAATGCTAGTTTAATTAGAAGGAGGGTTAATCATTTAGCAGTTGTTAACTTACCACGCAGCTGGAGTAGCCGATGCCTGCAAGCCTGGGGGAGATGTACCTCCACACTCCGATGCTGCCCTGTCGGATGGCTTGACCCGCTGCCAGCTCCAGGAAGAACAAGGGAATGCCCACAATCAGCATCAGCAACACATACAGCAGGAGAAAGGCTCCTGAGAAGAGGTAAACAAAGCTCCGTCAGCAAAAGAGCACCACATTTGACAACGAGACACTTTCTTTTATTCACGCCCCAGCAGGATTTTACCTTCTTTTTACCCCAGTTTTCAATCTAACAATGCAAACACACAAACACAATTGTTTCATGAGTAGTTTTAACAGTTGCCAGTTAATGCATTTACACCCACAATTAAGCACAATAATATTAGCGTCTCTTTTATCACGTGCCTGTACTGCGGTAACTACGTCAACCACCTACTTTCCCATTCTAGTAAATACTGTACAGAATATATACTATATATAAATAATAACACAGAAGTTAAAGTTACAGAAACTCACCTCCTCCATTCTGGTGGCACAAATATGGAAATCTCCAGACATTGCCGAGCCCGACGCTGAATCCCACCTGAGCCAAGAAATACTCTATTTTACTGTTCCATCCTGCTCGCGTGGACGACGAGCCCTGCTGGCTCTCCTCACCAGCGTAGCCATCGACCTCTGACTCTGCTGTGCCCGTTTTCTCATCATCGGTTGGCAAAGGCTGCTTCTCCATCTGAGACCAAAGGAGACAACAGAAAAACAAAAGAAGAACATGAAGTACAATGAAAAAAGAATGTGGCTGATTACGTATCCAGACATCCTGCGATTATTTTTAGATGTATAATTAGGGATAAAACTGATTTTTGTCATTGTCAATTAACTTGTTGAGTATTTTCCTCAATTAATCTATTAGTTGGTTGGGTTGGAAGATGAATATTGTGAAAAATGTCAACTAGTGTTTCCCAGAACCCGAGATGACGTCCTTAAATGTCTTGTTTTGTAGATAAATGAAAAATATTCACTTCACAATTGTTGCGGAGCAAAGAAACCAGAAAATATTCACATTTTTTTCAGCAAAAGTCCAAGAGTTTAGGTTTTTTCTTAAAATTTCCAAAACCGATTTACAGAATAGTTGACAACTAATTGATAAATCACTGCAGCTCTTGTCAGCTGTGGCATTTACTTGTAATCCACAGATTTATAAGATCAGATTGCACTTTAATTTTCACCACCAATGGTGAAACTCACTTGTTGCAGCTGTATAGATACAGGAAAGAGCACAAAAAGGTGACAGGAAGGAAAAAAATAGAACAAACAAACTATAAAAAAGGAAGAGCAGAGAAATGCAATACAACAGAGCCACACACACACACACACACACTATGTACACTATAGATACATATAATGGATACCATGATCAAAAATTTAAAAAAAGATAAAATAATAATAAAATAAAATATGGTATTATATGATATTGCACATAATTGGTGCATTACTACTCAGACTCCAGAAACCAGTGACTGATTTTATCTTTTATTTATTTTATTGAGTACACCTGTTTAGAAGCTTGCAATAAACAGCATCTTTACCAATATTTTCATGCTAAATTTGATTTGAAATTGATTTTGAGATGTGAGATGTGTTAATCCTAATATATGGCTTTGGAGGCAGTAGTTAAGATTGAAATATATTATAAAAGAAGGTTTTTTTTTCTAATATTTGATCTCACTATTTACCTGAGTGACTATGCTGCGTTAGCTTCAGCTGAGTTACACCGAGGAGCTAGCATCCCTGCTGTCCCACCAGGTGGTGATTCACACTGAGAGCTTTGAAACGCAGGTTTGAAATAATCCCTGACTAGAACAGGGGTCCAGATAGCAATTCTTTTAATATATATATACTTAACATTATAGCTATATCTTCACTTAAACCGAACAACGTCCGTTATAACGACTTTGTACGTGCAGTAACACAAAGCACTGGACGCTACAACACGTCAAAGAGCATCCTCGGCTACTTGTCTTTGTCAGGACTCACAGAAAACAAACGCTTTGGACAAAACAAACTCACCTGTCTGCCGGTAAACGTCGTTAACGTCGTGGAGGTAGAAGAAACAACACGACGACCACACCGGAGCTAATCTGATATCCTTCGCTCACTGATAACGAGCACGTGCGGCGCCCACTTCAACAGTTGCTCTGCTGTGAATCATGTCGCGAGCGCAGCTAATCTCCTGTTTCTGTCGTTCACATTAAATTTAGCATCACGGGCGCTAATTAAACGTTAATAAACTCTAAAAGTAAATAAAAACAAACACATGTGTTGTCTCCGCCACCGTATTCTCGCGCTTAAGCGGTGATGCCGTCGTGCGTGGGATTGTTTCTTTCTTCCGTGTGATGCAACACCAGCGCCACACCCACTACATGGTGCGTTCACGGGCTGCACGAAATCTGATCACTAAGAGAGCTGCATCCTGAAGGCACAGACAATATAACTTTATTTGTGTAGAGCTTTAATAAACAGGGGTTTACAAAGTGCTTTGCCAGAGAAAGTAAATGAAGCATGCTCAGAGGACAGGAAGCTAGGCAGTGAGGCCAAACTAAGGAAGGCAAAAAGTGAATGTCAATACTAATAAATATGAATACAATTATTAAAAATAAAACAAACTTTTATTGGCAATAACAATATCACATGAAAGCAAGTCTATAAAAATAGGTTTTTAAAGATGTGATTTCTGAAGAAATCACAGATTCTGCAAGTCTTATCTCCTCATGGCAGCTTGATCCAAAGTTAAAGGCCATTTAGATTCAGAATCAACTTTATTGACTAAGTGTGCAAACACAAGGAGTTTGACTCTGGTGCTTTCTTTATCTCAAAACCTTCTGCTGTGTGTCTTCACTATAGAAATCATAAAATAATTTGGTCAAATTAACTCACATTTTCTAGTTTATTTTTTGTAAACATCCGAGTTTTGCAGATTTCCTAATAATTGAATTTAAAATGTATTTTTTTGGAAATTAAGTTACAGCTGTTTCTTGTCATAATAATTAAAACAATACCAACCATGACAAAGGTTAGAGCTGAATTTAGTTCGACTCATGATCGATGATCACTGTAACCAGATGCAGCGTCACAGATTGTTTTTGTCCCGACTCTGGTCAAAAGTGGCTTCAACAGTTGTGGCTGTAAGTTGTCAGTGCTAAATGAAGAAGAAACTCCCCTGTCCATGTGACCAGCTGATTCAAGTCTTTATCTTGAGTTTGTTCAACTTGTTTTGATCAAGTAAGTATTTAGTTTATCCCAGCTAGCGTGACACTTTCACAACTCATAAGATGACTTTGAATTAATTCATGAGCAGGGGAACTTTCTTTGCTGAATGAATTTGAAATGATTTACAGCGTAGATGGGCTTTTTAAAGTAATCAGAAAAATCTTGAAATTAATCTTAAAACACATAAGGAGCTAGTAGTGAGATGCCAGGACTGGGGTGATGTGCAAGAACCAGCAAATCTATAGAGAAAAGGATAATAAGTGTATATGAAGTGTAATGAATGGAATATGCATTAAAAATAACAGAATGGACGCAAATAAAGATCAAGGAAAGTACAAGTGGACTCATTTAAAGTACTCCTGAAAATAAACCTAATAACTTTGCTGCTTAAATGTCATCATGAAAGGCCTTCAGAGGGGCTTTTTTTCCCCCAGATTTTGTGACTTTTTCTGTAAGTGAATGAGCCGAACGGTTGAGTCCCGAAGGTTCTCACATGCACATGACTGAGCCTGAACGCAGCATAAAGCGAACACGTCTTTCAGATTTAGTTTTCCGACACGTGTGACTGTGTGATGCCAGGTAGATACAGGTAGACTTCAAAAGTGAAACTGGGATCCGAGAAATGTTTTGTTGGTTTAGCCACAGCAAAAATAAGACATTAAATGGTAGGTTCGCTGAAACTAATGAAGAAACGTTTAACTGGTAGATTTCCATGTTTGGCAAATTGCTGCTTTTCTCCATTTTACAACTAAAACTCGGTTTTCAGAGTTTATTTTATAAAAACAAACAAACAAAAAAACAAACAAACTAAAAACTCCAGGCTGATGCAATAGTGTCACTCTGCCCTTCAGTGACTGTAACAGCATCAGTGTTTAGATAATGTACAGATATAGAAAAAGTGCGTCCAGTCACACTGACCTGGCACTGACATTCTTCTGGTCACACACACACACACACACACAGACACACACACACACAGACACACACACACACACACACGCATACAAACAGTGACTCGTGAGCAGTGTGTGCCACGTATGCCTGCTCTGGAGGTAAATAAAACCCAGTCTGCTGTCCTGTCACTAAACAACTCACAGACTACAACATCATTTACGCGTTTGGAAACAGCAGCATGCATTTATGAGTAAAAGATAAATACCTCGCGGTACCAAACAGTAGAGACTCTTGGAAAAGTTCTCCGAATGTCCTCAAGCCAAAGTCAAGCGGTGAAGTCGCCCGCTGCTTCACCTGACTCGTCTCCGCCCAACGTCTCCCCGATTGGAGAATAAAAGGGAGGTCTGTCTGCTGCCCATCCAGCTCTGTTATGAAATGTGAAACCCCACTTTCCCATCTCTCCCCACCGACCATACGTGTGTTCACTGTATGAGACGTTTAGCTTGTTTTCTAACTCTAAAGTTACTAATGTCCTGCAGCGATCTCACACAGAAAGAAGAAAGAAGCTTTTCATTTCGCACCACTTCTGCTAATAGTCTTTAAATGAACCGATTTAAATCAAATATAACATAAGATGGGATCAGATGCACCTTCATTGTTCCACTGAAGTGAAAATTCTAATTGACACTGCAGCAAATGTATGAGCATAAAAGAAAAACATTTCCATAAATACCTACACATGAGATCCAAAGAGCATCTACGCATATAAATAATAAAAACAAAAAAAACTGATCTGTGCTACAATCCTGTTTGTACACATGTTCAGTATCAATTCCATAGCATACTGAATATACTTTCAATTTAATTTTATTTATGTAGCACCAGATCACAACATGTGTGATAGATAGATAGATAGATAGATAGATAGATAGATAGATAGATAGATAGATAGATAGATAGAACTATATTTGTCCACAGGAGGCAATTAAAAAGGCACGAAGAGCAGGCAGTGTAAAATTGACCTAAGAAATTAAGTAGAAAAAAGAAATCAAGACAAGAAACATAAATAAAACAAACAGGAATAAATATATACACACATATATATATACAAATGTAGGACAAGTAAGATAATAAGAATAAAAAAATAGAATGAAGAAAAGAGAGAAAACACAAAAACGACACAAAAATGAACTTCTTTTTGTACGGACACGTGCATTACCTGTGTGGTTCACTACACATATATGTGCAGTCATTGTGTATTCAGGAGTTGTGTATGGTTGTAGAGTCTGAGGACATGAAAACATCCCTCCACAAGCTTTGAAGCATAATGTCTGTGGTTGAACATGCTCCTGAGAGAGGATGTACATGCAACCTTCCAGCTTCCCTCTTGTCCTCTTCTCTGTCTCCACAACGTTCAGTCCAGTCCCCACCACAGGACTGACTTTCCTCACCAGTTTGTTGGCACCACAAGTCCTGATGTCACCTCCCCAGCAAAGCACAGCAACGGAGATGCCACTGGACGCTGACGACTGGTAGAACTTCTGTAGCAACTGAGTGCATGAATTTAGAACATTTGAATTAAAACATGAAAAATAAAGCAGTCAACCAGCATGAGTATTAGTTTAGATTGTAAACTCATGCAAAGGTCGTGACCTTAGTTTTCTTAGCTACAGTCGCCCTGCACAATTACCTCAAATGTGTGAAATACTTAGACTTGTCAGTATGTAGGTGCACAGGAGAGAGGGAGAATAAATATTTTTATCGCTAAGGTGGAGTGGTAGCTTGGGCGGGACTGCATCATGTGACACACCTCTGCTTTGTCAGAGCTTTAATACCAAAGAGAACAGAGAACAGAGCGAGATACCTGCAGACACACAGAGACTCGGAACAGGTTTTGCTGTCAGTGTTATCCAACGTACACAGCTGTTAACATCAGGGGTAAACCACTGGAAGCATATCGACCTTGGTAAGTTGGTTCTAACTCTGTTTTCAATCATCCATCGCTGTAGTTGTTTTAACACTTAAGACTATTTGATTCTCAGACACGTTCAGTAGCTATGAATCAGAAACTACAGTGGAAGAAATTGTCATTATTGATTCATTATCTGTAGTAAGTATTCAAACTACAAAAATGAATCCACTGCTGATGGAGTATTTTTGTCCATTTGATTGAATCTGAAGGTTTAAAAATGTGGTTTTGCTGAAATCAAAAACATTCTGTCACGTCCCTATTGACTCGACTAATATAGAATATTTCACAAAATATCAACTCTTATGTGACCTTTTTGCTTCCAAATGGTTTTTCATTTATAGTATCTTTGGTATAACAGGAAAAAGTGCTGAAAGGTTGATTTAAGGCAAAAGTTTTTTCTTCTTCTATTTTAGACAGTATTTTAATTTTGCCCACTTAATAGCAATGTGTATAAATGTTCACGCTTGCTTTTGTCACTTACACCGTCGCAGTCTTTCATTTTGAAATATGTACTTAAAACAGCAGCCCCACCGGTTTGGCACTGACTGTGTAAACAAATGCCCGGCAACAGTGATATTTTCTTGGTCAGACTCGTCCTCAGGATGTGTAAGTGATACTAGACGTCTGCTCTCATTGAGACCGGTGATTCCTGTACTGGTGATCGGACGGAGGAGCAGAGAAACTAAACAGGGAGAGATGCACTCTGCTGTAGACAGACTGGTTGGGCGGCTCAGTCACACAGTGTAATCCCAGATCTGAGGCACAGACACACTGAAATAGATCGAAACACGGGGAAGGGCGAGTTTGAATGAGGATGTTGATTTTATAGGTGCTGGTCATGACCTGTTAGTTTAGAAAAAACATTACTGAAGATTGATCTCCTGAGATCCTGAAGGAAAAGAACCGACACAACAATGTTTAAATATTTCATTGAAAGTAAAAAAAATCCTGCATTTAAAGTCCTACATATGAGCAGCAAAATGTATTTAAAGTATTAAGGTAAAAGTAGTGGTTTGGTCCCTCTGGCTGATATATCATTATATATGACATCATTACAACTGAAGCCTCAGCGTGTCGGCAGCAGGTTACTGTTGTAGCTGCTGCCGGGTTCAACTACTTTATGTTCAGTTTTATATACAGACACAGCACATAAATCTGAGGCGTCATCAGATGATTAATGGGAGAGGAAAGAAGAATAACACATTTCAGATGCACAAATCTGGTTCTAGTTTTTGGACTTTGTCTCTCT